CGAAGCAAAGCACTTCTGACCTACTGCACTAACTTTTTTAATGCAGTGACCAAAGATCGCCTGTGTGACAAGTTAAGGCACACTACATTCATTTAAAGCGTTTATTTAAAGCAATATGGCCGTAGCTTTTATCACTGACTTGATCATATCAGATGCCGCGCTATTGAAATTGATTATAGGGTCGTAGCTACGTATTTTGCTCCTAAGCTGGTTTTTATGTCAGTGTACTTGTCAAAGACTTTGTACTTACGCTGATTTCTTTATTAAAACATTCTTTGATCACGAAAACGCCCTATAAAGAAGTGTTTTGTTGTCCTTTTTATCATGCAGATCAACACTTTTAGTCTGCGCATAATGAATTTTATTAGATTGCTATAATAATGTCCTTTGCATTGATCAGCATTACCACCTACATCTTTATTCTCACCACTGTTAAGATATCCAGCGATTATCCAAATATCACAAGCTCCGTAATCATTAGTATTACTGTAATCGTCTTTGTGATTATAAATATCGTTATCATCATTAGCGACATAACCACCAGTGCCTTCTTGGTGGCCGTTATCTTGACTTGGGCTTTACCATTGACGTACCATACCATAATAGCGTCGCTCCACCTTTTAGCATAAGGAACCGGTATCCAGTCGGTAGAGGTGCATTCTTCTTGGCGTAATTTCGAGATGAATGTTTTTGTGAAAGCGTATAGTGTGTCCGCTCTTGCGACATCATTGTGACAAGCAGAGTGTTCCTCTGCTAAAAACAAAATAAATACCACGCGACGTTTCTACTTTGTGGGTGTTCACACACATTACGCCCATTGCTTATGCAGAATGCCCATCTTTTCGCCTACGAGCCAAAGAATAAAATCGTATCGTAGGACCTGCTAGTCAAAATCTCTCGTATAACAGTTCTCAGCGCATTTTTCTTACACACTGGATTCACTGTAATAAGCAAATTTTATTTCTGCTCTAAATATAGCCCCACGCCATTTTCAGGAAGCTTGAAGAATTGCCACAGCGTTGCGGCTGCCTCATTTGGAATCTAATCGAAACCCTTAAGGATTGTTAGAAATGAAGTCAGAATATTAGGGGCCACTGCTTCTTGGCATCAGTTTCAAAAAAGGTGTTTAGCTGTGTGGTGGCATTTTGAAAAGGCTTGTTTCCATTCCATGAGCATAGGCATTGCATGCTGCCAAAGACTACGCTTATACCGACGTCAAAGATGTATGCAGGACAAAGTAACAAACCCTGCGGCGGTGAATCGCGTCTGAATATGCTATGTGCTTCTTGCACGAGGAATCAAAAACCACAGAGTTTATGTATAACT